GATTCAGTCCCGCGCCACAAACCCCAGATTTCCTTCGTTCAATCTTACACTTACCACAGCAAGAAACCCCTTGTTTGTTGTTGTTGTTTTTCTTGACATTAAAATCGTGTGAGTTGCTAATTCCAAAATCTAGAAAGACTCGGTCCGTGATCACAAAAATGCTAGAGCCATCAGAAGATCTAACGAACACACACATTATTAGCAAGAAAAGGGTGTACACAAGGCCGAGGAGGTACACCTGCAATCAATCCTTGCTGCTGCAGAACGTTTGCGTGCTCACAACTGAACTACATGTCCACACACACTTACAAGTGGAGTACACGGGCAAGAAGGGCAGGTCGGCGGGGAAGAAGACGACGGTGGTGACGGACGCGGAGGCCTTGTGGGCCATGCTCTACGCTGACGACGCGGCCATCGTCTCGCGCTCGCCGGAGAGTCTCGAGATGATGATGTCGGTCATCGTGCACGTGGCCGGCCTGTTCGGACTGATGGTGTCGGAGCCAAAGACGGAGATCATGTATGTGCATGCTGCCAAAAGGGATCGAGGAACGCCCGTTCACGGTCAGCGCCGCTGGCCAGATGTACAAGCAGACAGATCGGTTTGTGTACCTCGGACGTACTATCTCCGCGGATGGGAAGGACGACCGGGAGATCACGAGCCGTCGCAGATGCCGAGCGTGGAAGTGCTACCGCCGGAACAACAGTGCTTCGATGTACGACAGGCGACGGGCCAGGAAGCAGAAGCAGAGAGTACGACCATCTCAGGACCGAAGAGAAAGAGATCCGGCGAAGCGGCGGTGGGGGGAAAGAAACGGCGACCGGGCACTTCACTGCTGTAGAAGCGAGTAGGGCGGCCGAGGCAGCGCTTGTGGCGAACTATGTACCCTGCTGATGTTGTTGCGCCCTGTTTCCCTCCCTGCTGTATGTTGTTGTTGTTGTTGTTGTTGTTGTCTTCACATTAAAAACCATCCCGGTCTCTCTATCCAGTACCTCCTTCTGTCTCAATCTCTCCGTACTAATCCTGTCTCTTATACACATCTAGATGTGTATAAGAGACAGNTGGAACGGCCGCACCACCAGCCTGGGGGGGTAGCCTCCCACTACATGGAGGCAGGTCGACGGCCAAAGGAAGGGGCGGGGGTACGTGCCAGTAAAAAACAAAACAAAAGACAAAATAAAACAGAATAAAGCAAAGACGAGGACACAAACAAACTCGCACAGAGACAGGGATATCCCTAGAGACAGTCTGAACGCGACAGCAAACAAAACGGGGGAGAGGGCAACCGAAAAATTAGTCGTTGAAATTCGACCGCAACATGTCACGTCACGCGGTCGGTCTCTTCTCGCTTGCTTTCTTCCCGCCGCGCCGTTTCCTTCCGCCCCCCTACCGCCCCGTTGATTGGTGCCGTATCTAGACTATTTTTGGGCCCGCTGTCTGCTATACTCCTTTGTGTATGTCCTTTGTATTGCCTTCGGCCTCTGTGCTGTGTTTCTTTTTTTTCATGACCTCCCTGCCTACTCTGCTGTGTTGGGTACCTTTTGATCTCGCTTTGCTGTTGCCTTTGTTTTTGTACGGCTGGCTGTCTGCCCATCTGCCGCCTCTTTGCCCTGTTTGCTCCGTTACTCCCATGCCCTGGTGCGTGGTGCCTGGTGCTGGTACGTTAGCCGTTGATTTTTGCTTTGGGCGGGTGTGGGAAGCGTCCTACTTTATTTTTGTTTTGTTTTATTTTGATCGGTTTCCGAGGGCTCTTTTCTCGAACGGTCGATGCGATACCTGGTCTTTTCTTTCTATCATTTTGTTCCGAGTGGTTTGTACCCTATTTTTTTTTTTTTCTCGCGGCGTCGTATGTGCCGGGTTTTGAGACCACTGACTACCCATATTTTTGGTGGACTTTAGAGCTAATGTGAGAAACAACAACAACAACAACAACAACAACAACAACACTATATTTCGACTAAAATAGCAGCAGCATCAATCACCCCCCTTGTCCCGCATTTAACCGAAATGAATCTTTGTCGTCGACTACAGCGTACTGCTGTCTGAAGTGCTGTCTGTGCAATAATAACACCATGGTGCATGGTACACAAGCTCGGGGCATGCAGCTGCTGTCTGAAGTGCTGTCAGAATGAGTCCGTGGACATA